TACATATAGAATTTCTATTTAATAAATTTTGTACATAATTTACTTAGTGGCAATACGTCTTTAAATGACGACCACAAGTAAATTTTCGACAGTAAAAATCCTTTTATAAGAAATGTCGAAACGAAAAAAATGATGATCTCGGATGGTATAACACTTCGTTTTAATTCATGATTAAATACTTAAATCATTAATAGTTTGCGATACTCAACGACAACAAAATTTATCGTTAACTTCTGCATCTATGCTACAGCCTGTGCGATGTGATTTCTTAAAAAAGGATTTAGAAGTTCAGTCGGTTTACCAAAATATAAGCACACTCCTGCAGCGCGTTTAATTCTATTTCTGTAAACCACTACCTGTTCATGTTTATAGTATTTATTATGAACAACCGTATAATACGATGACTGATTTCAATCTTTCTGATCAGTAAGTGGTACATGGTAGCAGGGGGGCAGGCTAAGAAACACAGGGGAAGAGGGGATGTGCCAAGTTATGCGATATTGTAACGGCTGCTCAGAACATTTTTCCAAGCAAATATCCTACTATGACCATGACAATGGCAATGAGGATGGCATTTTTTTCGAATTGACTCTTGTTTCGTGAGATCGAACATCTAGATCCTGCTAAATTGTTTCGTGGGATCAAACCTCTAGCTGCTGCTAAGGAAGCATCGTTACCCAATGCTGCGTTTTTTAATTTCAATAAATCCTCCTACAAATAAAACCGATTCTTGTATTTATCGAATAAATACACCTCCTGTATACTCTCAAATAAATTAAGTATTCAACTACTTACCTTCAACTGAAGGTTTTCCTGCCTAAGAGTACTTTCTTCTACCCTAAGCTGATTAACTTCTTGTGCTGCTTTTAACAATTTTTCTTCTGCTTCTCCCAGAATCTGATAAATAATGTTCATAACTCACAGGTACTTACATAATATGCAGATAAAAAAAACTAAACAGACCAAAGTTCAGAACAATTATTACCTTGGGTGATGACTTGACAGTATCACCTACTCCCTTGTTTTTACCATTATTTGTATTTACTTCCGATTTAGTTGTAGTGGAAGTAGTTTTAGCTGCTGTAGTGTAAGTTACAGGATTCATAAATACGCATTTTAATTTGGATTCCATTACCTGGTTTGGGTTTGTGTCTTTCCACTTGAAAAAGAAATAGAAATCATAGTTAATCAAAGCTTAAAATAAAAGACAATTGCTATAGGAAAAACCAGTCTCCAATGTGATATAATTTACTACAAAGCCTTTAGAAATATTACATACCACATCAAAATACTCTTCGTCATTCTCATCATCTGGAGCTATTATAGCTTGTACCATAAATTTGTGTTTATTCTTTTCTGTTGGTTCAAAATCGAACGCTTGTAAAGTGACTGAAAAATATAACAACTAATAAATGAAATTTTCATGTTTACATGTTCTTTAAACATTCAAAACATTAGCTTTCAAAAATATATCATCAAGCTTTTTATATGTTGTAAATAATTTCTTTGAAACTAACCAGCTATTTGAACCTTATTCTTTGGTGTAATAAAGCCGGCATTAGGACGTACACAATATCTCCTTGGAGCAGTTGTCTTTATTTTAAAATAAACTTTGTGATTCGTTGGATTTGTTAATGTCATAAGTGATGTGACTGCTACCTCTGTGAAAGGGCCTGAAATACAGTATAAAGGTTATTCATCACTGGAAAATATTAATCGCGTAACACTTTTCACTTGGTCACTCTATAAGACAAAAATGAACATATCTTTTATAAGATTCAGTTTGAATAACTGAAGGTGTTAACTTACTCTAGACATATGATAAATAGTACTATACATATAATACTCTTATAAATTGGAAATTCTGTAGTACAAGATGCAGTCACATAAACAAACATACTTGTACATATACACTGATATATA